GAAGACAAACTTTTAAAAGGGAAAAAAAGGGCAAAAACGACAAGATTATACATACAAAAAACGGAAAGGTTTGAATTCAATACAATCTATACAAATATATTTGAGTTCGTAACCTTTTTTGTGTAAGCAAACGAAATAAATACAAAACTACTTAAAGGGGGTTTTTCATTTCGCTGGCAACCCTGAAGTTGCTGACGCCTAAGTGACGAACTCGTCCCCTGATTGGCTGAGCAGCCAATTCCCTCCCCAACTGACCGGGAAGAAGCTGTCAGTTGGTCTCCACCGTCTCACGCCTCCTCGTCTTATGGCGTGTTTGAAACAACCTTTCTGCCTCTGTGTACACGTGTAGTCAACGCTGCTGCTGTTGTGTGTGTCTGTTTTCTTTTAGTTTCAACCATGCCTATAGTTAAAACGTGTTTAAAACTGTTCCTGTTCGGCGCAGTCACCGTCATGACCGTGCTGCTGCTGCGGCACTGGATGGCCACCAAGCAGTACGTTTTCAACAAAGAAGACGTAGCCAAAATAGCCAAACAGTACGCAGGTTAGTTTGGTATTGAGGAGTGTTATAGCTACATAAATTCAAAACTAACCTGCTGTTCAGTCAAATGCAGTCTAAAGTAGAAATACGCGATTTAAATAGCCCAAATAACATATCATTAACAGTATATGTGTGTATTCTTAGGACAGGACCATGAGCAGGCCTTCTCCAAAGTGGTGGTGGAGCTCAGGAAGAGGTACACACACATTGTTTTTGTTTTTTAATCATAAATGTATAATATACTTACTGTCATGTAAGCATTTGTAGCTGCAACTGATAAGAAACCCCTCTCATTGAACCATTAACTATCAGGGTGTTTATTTGTAAGTGACGTTTTTAATTGACTCTTATTCAGTCAGTTGACATGTCATTAGATTCATGTTTGTCTTTTAATAAAGCGACATGGTGGCAGAGCTGTTACAATTCAACCAAACTTGGTTATTTACTCTGCTTTGTAGACAGGGCTGCATCTGATGTTGTGGAGTTATACAATATTTTAAACACAATTATTTCAAGTAGTTGTGTAGCATTTTATTTAAAACTGCTAATAACGTGTACCTGAACTAGGTACCCTGGCCACATCCTGCCAGACGAGGACCTGCAGTGGATCTTTGTGAACGCTGGTGGCTGGATGGGCTCCATGTGTCTGCTCCACGCCTCGCTCACTGAGTACCTGCTGCTGTTTGGCACTGCAGTGGACACAGGAGGACACTCAGGTGAGGAGTGAAGGGGGTTAAAGTCTGCAATCATAAACTTAAATTATGCAGAGGAAGAACACACACATTATGTTATTACCTGCAGCCTTATCTTTTGTACTGAGGAAACCGTAAAGGATTTATGTAGAAAAAGAAAACGTAATATGCAGCATATATCCTACACTTTTATTACATAAAGACTGTACTTGGGGAGTCTTTTTCCTAGTGATGTGTACACTCTATATTTGTGTTCCTTCGTTTTTTGGGATCAATCTGTGTCAATAACCAATAGAAATGTGACTCCATGTCTGCTCTCTCCTGCTGTCAGGTCGTTACTGGGCTGAGATTTCTGACACTATCATATCCGGCACCTTCAGACAGTGGAAAGAGGGGACAACCAAGAGTGAAATATACTACCCTGGTAATACCATGAAATATTTTACCAAAACATTTCATGTTTTAGTATTTGTGGTTTCCTTAGTGACCTAAATGTAAGATGTAAAAATGTTATCTGAATGAGAAAATGTTGTTGTTGTCATTTCCTCATCCCTTACTTCCAGATGTTCTTCTCCACAGGTGACACCATCGTCCACAGTATAGGAGAGGCAACATCCGTCCAGTGGAGCGGCGGGACGTGGATGGTGGAGTACGGCCAAGGTTTCATCCCCTCCACGCTGGGATTCGCTCTGGCGGACACCCTGTTCAGCACCCAGGACTTCCTCACCATGTTCTACACCGTACGAGTCTATGTCAAGTGTCTGCTGCTCGAGGCCGGTACACTACTCACAGAAACGGGGGTTTTCTGAGGCACGGTGGTGAATTGGACAGTAACATTTCAAAAGGTTTACCTTGTCATCACATCCATCCCCTTGACCACTATCAGTCTAGCATCAGGGAAACTCCATGATAGATTATTCACGTTTAAATATTTCTACCTGGAAGTGTAGTATCTAAATTTGCAAAAAGTACCGGTTCTACATTCAAGTTCTTGCCCCTCGTTAAGGCTATCCAAAATACAGTGTTTGATTCCTTTTTTTTTTCCTACTCTACACAACATCTGATCTCAAGATCTCAAACATAGTCAGTGAGGTCTTCAGTGTTTTGTTTTTTTAAATCTGGCTTAAAGAATGGAGACCTAAAGACCTTTATTTACAAGTAGGTTGCCAAATCATTATTCTGGGAATAAACAGATAACACTTGTAACTGGCAATTGAGTATAAACTCACTAGTAAACAATCACTTAAGAAAAAGGATTCAGCTGTGATAAATACTGGGTTGGGGACCAAGGAATCACTTTAAAAACAGATATGCTTAATTTGGCTTGAAACTAACTTAAATACATGATTCAAAGCCAAAGCACTCTATTTTCTTACTAAATACCATTTCATATTTATAAGCGTGTAAATTGTCACCATAAAAAGTCTAATTTCACAAAAATGAAGGTCAATAAGCTTGTTTGCTGCAAAGAATACATTTGATAGTTGGCTCTAAATCCCTCATTGACAATCAATTATCCGTTAATATTTGTTTAATGTGGTGAAGTAAACTGCCTGGATGATGTGTGTACAATGTCCTATTTTTTGGCTCAGTATGAGTCATAGTCAGGTTCATTTCAGCTCAGCAGTGCTTTAAAGATTACACATACTCTGTCATGGTGTGTGATCTACTACTTCAGAGCTACTGTGCAGCAACCCAGTGCAATGTCCCCTTTTTTCTTCTCACAACCCCACTTTTTTCTGGCTTTTCTCTTTCACCTTGGTAGAGAGCTATTTTTTAAATTCAATAGATCTTCTGAGAAATATAGGAGCCATTTCAAATATGAGTGCGATTCTTATTTGGCTTGGAAAACGAAGAAAAAAAAAATGGGTCCCTATATTGTTATATACGTTTTTGTGGTCAAGTACGTTTACATGAGTTTGCTACAGCCGCACTTCATTGTGTGGGACTTTGCACTAGCCCTATTGGGCAAAAACAAAACACTATACACAGGCACTTGGAATTGTACTTTACAAGCAAATAATATCCACCATCTCCCGGTTAATACCTTTTCAGCCATATTTTTAACAACATATAAGGTTTTTTGGGAGTAAACTACTTTATACTAAAATACTTTATAACTATCTAAACTAGTTATTTGGTTTCCATACAGCAGCATCAGTAGCAGCGTGGTCTCATGGATGGATGGCAAAACAAAAACATTATCACTGTACCTTAAATGTTGATGTTTGGGTGTACAATATACTGTAAAGGGAAATATGGAAACTGACAGTGCCAGAAGAAATAAATGTTTTTCGAAGTTAAATAATGCAAGCCTGTTTTATTGCTTATTAAAACACACTCATCTGAAATCTTGGAATAACTAAACTGCACTGAGTCATCCATCACAGCTCCTGCAAAACCAACATCATGGGTATTTTTGGGTGGTAAACACAAGCTGAGTGAAATCACAAAACTGACCTTATATACTCCAGAGAGTTAATAAATATCTGGATGAGGTTAGGGAGTGTGAGTAGGTGGAGGGATGCTGCGTGAACAGATGGTGGTATTCCAAATAACAGGCCAGCAGAACAGAGCAGAGACACATCCGTCCTCATCTCCGTCTGTAAATGCCAAGAGGATGCAGACAACCTGATTTGTTGTCATCAGATCCATGAGAGAGGGCCAGGTGATGATGATAGAAGTGTGTGTGTGTGTGTGGGTGTATGTGGTGTTTTTAACCTGTGCGTGTGTGTTTATATTATACTATAGTGTGTCCAATCTGCGATGTTCATCCTCCCTGAAATATATATCCATCTGTGTGTGTTGCCATATTATCCCAGATATAGATTTAATGTCAGCCTAACAAACTAGCCTGACCCGCTGCCCTCCTTCTCTTCAAGCCCTTTAAAGGAGATGTATTCAGAATCGAAGACGGGCGACGCAGCTGAAATACCAGGGTGCCGGTCAGCGGTTGCCCCTTTAATGGGATAGACGACGGCCTCTTTGACTAATCGCTTGTTGTCTTCCAGGCTAATGTCCTCGTAACACATGTCAGGGCATTGCAAATAGATGTCTTTTAGGAGATGAACACACACACAGAGAGCGAGGGATGCATGCAGAAAATATAACAAACTGGATAAACGATTCCAAAAAGAAAATCAGTGTCACAAAACCTCCATTAGGCTTGCATAAATAGGTGTGCTAAAATAAAACACAACATGAAGCAAACAGAGGACCTTCATTATTACATAGCTCCAATGTACTCACAGGAAAGCTCTTCCCTGCCCTCTAGTGAACATATTCAGTATCACACAATTGGATTTCTTTGGATAGAAATATGTTTACATCTCAGTATAGACATTCCATGACCCTTAATCAAGGCTCAAGTTATTTATTTTCAACTGATGCCAATATTTGTGATTAGAATGAATCATTACACTATGTCACTATTGACATAATAGTACATTTTCTTAGTAATAACCTCTTAAACAGAGGTCCACTTAGGCCTACTGGCTTTCCAAGAGTTGCCAAACCAATCCCATGCTTTCACTTGTACAGCTTTGTAATTAGGCATTTAGAAAGCTATTTCATTTATTAATCATATCATTTTTTTAAGAAACAATGCACATTTCCAAGTCGGCTACCTCTCCTCTTTCTGATAATACACTAAAGCTTAATTAAACTAGTAAATACTTGTATTGTCATTGTTTCAGTATTTGGTGTACAGGGGGATACTACACCTGAGAGTACGGTGGCCCCTAGGGACAAAACCCAAACCCCCACACTAACACTGAACAGACTTCAGAAACAAGTGTGGGCCAACAACAGCTTACTAATCATAACGTCTTCTCACTAAACTTCCAGAAACAAGATGGAGCTTTCATATCAATCTATGAAGGTTGCCCACCAAGCCCGGGAAGCGGTGAGTGAATAAGGGGTTTTCTTATTTGTGTTTTTCTATCAGGGTAGACGAACTGCTTGTAAGCTAAACACTTTAAGCTAACTTCACTAGCAACTGAGACACTTTGGAGAGGGGCGTTTAACGTTAGTTTCCACTGCTTATGGCCAAATTAACTTTCCCACCTGGCCAGGTCGTCGTTGAACTGTGACAGTTAGCTTAACAATTAGCTGTTAGCTGTTGAGCTAATCAGGATAGCTAGTTTTGCACGATCCAGACCTACCATTAATCACCAGCGTCTACAGGTTGCCTAGATACCAGTCAGGTGTTTGTCATTAGTGGCGATTTGTCGCCCTCTACTGGGATTTTGTATGTCCGCATCCGAGTATACTCCCCGTTATAATGTTCTACACATGTGTAAAGTAGCAGGGAGTACAAGTATAATCAAATATAGTTATCAAGATCACTACTAGACTTTTTTTTCGCGGGTGACATTCCAACTTGTCAAACGCAGGTGTGATTCATCAGTATAAATAATGAAAAAACTACAGTAAAGTGCTACCAGACAGGAAATCCCCCTGTGACAAAAATCACATTTTAGCTGCTTTGGCTTCATGGTCCTTGCAGTATGCATTTAGAACCGACCCCCCTCTTCTTTTCTACCATCAATCCATGGATCCATTACTATTTATTTATATAGTTTAATATCATCAATTGCAAAATTGCCTTACGGGACCAGACTGTGCAGCATAGGCCTACAAGGAAAACTCCCCAAAACAAACCCCATAGTTAAGGGGGGACAACTAAACATGTCTGTGTGAAAGAGACAAGAGTACACTTTTTATTGTTTTTTCATGTCTAAACAAAACCACACATTAAACCAAACTTTGAATTATTTTGTTGACATGAATGCAGCAGTTGTGTTTGAGGAGCTGAGTGTGTTCTGTGTTGCTGTCCAACAGGATGAGCTGAGGACTGAGACCAGGAGGAAGAATCTCCTGATCCTCATTTACCACCACCTGCTGGGGCAAGGGTCAGTATACCTCCACAGTGGTGCTGCTAACACATATACAGTACAGTATGTGTGCAGTCGCATGTCAAAACCTTTCAACATTCAGAGGCTTGTCTGTACTATAGTTTCTTAATGGGCCTTGATATGCTTTTTAAGGGTTTCCCTTTCCTGTAGTGTGTTACTGTTTATTGTATAGTGTGCATGTAAATGGTCTGCAAAGGCTAAAATCCAAAAGTTCCTTTTTTTCCTGCTATTAATGACATGTGATGTTGCAAAGAGCAGACTTACAAATTGCCAAATGAAAAAGACTAGAAAGTGCTTGCATTTAATGATTCATTACAATGACTATGATATATGCCACTGATCTAGCAGGTATGTGTGAAACAGCAATTGATATGATCCGTGGTAACACGTGTACAGAAGACCATGTATTGGTGTGTGTGTATAAACTGAAAATGTCTGACTTTTCTGGTGGCGATACAAGCAGTTCATCAAATAAAAGCACTTTATACTAAATCATGTGAGTTTTCCCAGACATAGTTGACCTCGATTGTGTTACTTTTTGATCTTTCTAAGGTTCTTGCGTGTGTGTGTGTGTGACATCCTGTGTGTGTGTGACATCCTGTGTGTGTCCGTTCCCCAGCTACGTGTCTGCAGCAGTGGCCTTGGACCAGGAGACTAATGGAGGTGTGAGGAGGTTCGAGGTCTGCGACAACATCGATCTGGAGATGGTGCTGATGGAGTACGAGAGTTATCACTATGTCAAGTTCCAGAAGTATCCCAAACTTATCAGAAGAACCGCAGAACTAGGTATACCACCTCCGCTAAAACAATCTCATGCTCAATGTGATACAAACATTCTAAATGATACTGTACTTGTTAGATCTTAATTAGAGCTAATTCATATTTCTTTTTCTTTTATGCCAAGGTGAAAACAGAAATATAAGAAGTGGTGGAGTAAAGAAGTGAGTTCTTCGTCTTATAGACCTTTCTTTTAGTAATCAATAAGGATGTTATAGTCATACACTGTCCATACATGCTGATATTATGAGCATTAGATTAACTTGGCTATGATGTTGAATGAGGTCTGGTCTGCTTCAAAGTGCAATTATGATCAAATCTGCCAGTTATTATTTAATTCTTCCCCTGAAACATGTTTTTATTCTGTGTCGATCAGGAGTCCCTGTTCAGCTGTGAAGCCCCTTCCCAAAATCATCCCCTCTCAGAGCCCGCAGCCTGCAGTTGGAGCCAAGAGGCCAGCTGCTGGTTCTCATACAAATGTAAAACATCAAAAACACAACAATCATGATCAGAATATGAATTTGAAGTGTGATTATCTGACCTCCTGATGGCTGTGTTTCCAGGAGAACGGCTCTTCTGTTCCTCCAGAGTCCTCAGAGTTCGGTCTCAATGTCTCCTCCATCAGAAACGGACCAGCTGGGGAGGCGGCTACCAACAGGAAGGTACTAGAAAAATATTGTTTTTATATATGGATAAAGTGGATTTACATTGTTTTATGACACATTGTATTTGTTTACATGTCAGGCATTACTCACCCTTCATCCAGACAAATCACACGGTATGATTTACAGGAAATATCACCCACTTTTTCCTTTTAATATGTTTTCTTTCATTTTTTCTGTCCTTGTATAGTAGAAAGTTTGACAGAATAACCTTTTGTACATATAGTTTTATTGATGAGTCTCTAAGAAACTAGCTAAGAAGGACCTTTTGTATTTTGGGGTTGACATGAATAGCAAACAATGAAAATTCCCTCATGTAAACAAATCATACACATTGACTCATAAATATCTACACACCGTTTTATAGAAATGTGAAACTTAATCACTAATGCGAGTTATTTATTTCATTACTTTGTACTTTTTAATGAGTTTACATCTTTTCTCAGGGCCAGATGACTGAAGGCAAAGTTCCAATCCAAGGAACGGGCAGTGACTTAGACCACATGGTAATTATAAAACAATTTCAGTGTATTCTTTAAGACATTTGAATGGCACAAAATTCATGTTAACAATCCAACTCAAATATATGAAAGCTACTCATAGGACTACACTAACATCGTTATATCAACTTAATGCTGGGTTACAGGAGCGGCTGCTGAAGCCCCTCAGTGGCATGTCTGGGATGAGCGGTGAGATGAGAGAACTCGCTGCCATCATCAGCGGGGTAATAAACACACACACGCACGTGCACGCGCACGCGCACACGCACACGCACACGCACACACACTATATTGAAAGCTCTGACAAACATGGCAAACATTCTCCATACACGTAAAAAAGCTTATTTTATCTTAAAGGTGGGGTAGGTAATTTTGGAGAAACCAGCTCGAGATCGCTAGAATTTGAAAATACACAACCGGAGAAAATCTGCCACTTCCTTACGGAGCCCCTCCTCCAACACACACGAACGCGCACATGACCAATGAGGGCACAAGATACTGTAAGTTTGTGCACAGATGGAAGGCTGACAGCCAGGTAGGCAATCCAGTTATTTTAGCCGGGCCGGCTAAAATGATTGGTCGTACTTTTTACAGTACTACCCAGATGACATTTTTTTATGGATTTTTTGTCAAAGCACTTAAGATATTCATTGCTATCGGGATGTTAAGAGCATTCCATGGAATATAACAAAAAGTGTATCTCGAGCCGGTTTCTCAAACTTACCTACCCTACCTTTAAGTTGTGGCTCGTTCTTGTGAAAAAATATATACTTTAGATGTTACCAAATATGTCCACCAGTGGGCAGTGAAGTGCTTTGTTGGGGTTAAATTGATCTGCTATATTAATGAAGGCCCAGGTTCTATCCATTTCCCTTATCACTCTAAAGGACACCAATTTACTCCTAATCTCACCAGGATGTTTGTGCCGGGTGTCTTCCACATGCATCCCTCATTCTGTGTCTCTGTGTGTGTGCTCACCCCCTAAAGGACATCTATCTGCACAGCCCCAACGTGCGCTGGGAGGACATCATCGGGCTGGAGGACGCAAAGCGATTAGTCAAAGAGGCCGTCGTCTATCCCATTAAGGTGCAACCGCTGCCCGGCAACGCTGGTATTTCAGCTGCGGTCGCCCGTCTTCGATTCTGAATACATCTCCTTTAAAGGCTTGAGGAGAAGGAGGGCAGCGGGTCAGGCTAGTTTGTTAGGCTGACATTAAATCTATATCTGGGATAATGTAGTAACACACACAGATGGATGGACAGGGAGGCAGGAACATGCACATGTAGAATTCATACACACCGTCGCATTCACACAATTCTGCCGCTGCCTACAGACATTGCACATACAAATATAACATGGCACACACACGTGGAAAATACACACGCTTCTATCATCATCACCTCATGGATATGATGACAACAAATCAGGTTGTCTGCATCCTCTTGGCATTTACAGACGGAGATGAGGACGGATGTGTCTCTGCTCTGTTCTGCTGGCCTCTGTTATTGAATAATACCGCACCTCCACCTTCCCACAATCCCCCATTTCTGTCTCCATTATTATTCATCCTCTGGGGTATAAGGTCAGTTTTGTGATCTGCCTCTGTTTGCCACCTCACATTCAGACTAATGTGTTCTGTGTGATATTTGCAGCACTGCCTCAGCTATACATCAAGCAAATCAGTTTGTCCTCTTTGCACACAGCTCAGCTTCTGATTGGTCTGCGAGAAGACGATGTTCCCAGCTATAATATATTTAAATTTAGAAATTATTCTGGCTTTCTAAAGGTTTGTCTGTGCTGTAGTTTTATATTTCACTCCCCTCTCTCTTTACAGTACCCCCAGCTGTTCACAGGCATTCTGTCTCCGTGGAAGGGCTTGCTGCTCTACGGCCCCCCAGGTAAGATCTCCTCTGCTGTAAACCCACATCACGTTTGCTTTGGCCAACATTAAAGGTCTCCTATCATGCAAAATGCACTTTTTGATGTCTTTTATACATAAATATGTGTCCCCGGTGTGCCAGGGAACTCACAAAGTGTCAGAAAACAAAACCCTCTCTCTTTTCCTCCGTACCCACATCTCTAAAAACGGGGGACCAACGGAGCTGATCAAGATTTGCGTCCGATATGACGTAATATTGGAAATGTGGGCTGGCTTTACGCCCACGGCCCTATCAGAAACGTCACTATCACAAACAATGTGTTTTGGAAGTAATATGGTCTTTATTTACATTAGCAAGCATCGCTAACACTCAGAGCTAACGCTGTACTGGAGAGAGTATGTGTACAAAAGCAGGAAATTAAAAAAAAGGAACTCACCTTGTGGTAAACCCGCAATTAAAAAAGCATTTGAGCTCCATACTGTTTCAGAAATAATCTGTGATGTGGCTTTGAACATGATGTGGCTTTGAACATGATGTGGCTTTGAACATGATATGGCGTTTAATCACGGCAGAATGTAGCTGAGTACCTGGGTAAAATTCTCTTTTTCTCTTTTTAAAGCTACGGACCCAGAATCAGCACTCTAACAGGGCTGAAAAAGAGGGTTATGAGGCCTACAAATAGTATAATAGGAGACCTTTAAATAATGTCTTCTTAACATTGTGACCATGTGACTCACATTCGCAGGTACAGGTAAGACTCTGCTGGCCAAGGCCGTGGCTACAGAGTGTAAGACCACCTTCTTCAACATCTCCGCCTCCAGCATTGTCAGCAAGTGGAGAGGAGACTCTGAGAAACTGGTCCGGGTAGGTGACTGCTCCACACATACAGTAGTTCAAATATATTAAAAAAGATAAAACATGTTTGAATGTTACGTACATTGTCGGTTTGGATTTGTGGTAACATATGTATTCTGTATGTCTGCAGGTTCTGTTTGAGCTGGCCAGGTACCACGCCCCGTCCACCATCTTCCTGGACGAGCTGGAGTCAGTGATGAGTCAGAGAGGAGCCAACATGGGGTGAGCTCAGCCACTAAGTGAGGAAAATGTTTTTTTTAAAGTCAGTCCTGGGCATTAGGGACTCACTCCCTGCACTAGATGATCTACCAATGGTGTGACTGTACAATTTTCCTTGTGTAAAACATTTAACTTACTGTGAATCATCTGTAATTAGTGTTTTCTTACAACTATTTACCTGCTGAATATAAGTAATTAAACTGTTATATTTCATTTGTATTCACTTTGTATAACAGTTAAGCCAATATAAAGATCATTCATTTTCAATAATGAGCAATCAATATAAATAAACACACATTTAGAGGGAGACTGCAGTAAAATAGCTCTCAATCATCATGTATGGTATTTGTACCCAAGCAAGAGAACTGAAATGAGCATTTTAACCATAGTTATGACACTAATTATTACTAATCAAAGAAAAACAGATGACCGATCACTGTAAGATAACTAAGTGGTTTACCTATAGTTGAATCATTTCACAATAAAGAGCGTTGAGAGGTGGTGAATATAACTGATGTGACAGACTGATGTGTTTCCAGGGGGGAGCACGAGGGGAGTCGCAGGATGAAGACGGAGCTGCTGGTGCAGATGGACGGCCTGGCCCGGTCAGAGGACCTCGTGTTTGTTCTGGCTGCCTCCAACCTGCCCTGGTAACACCTCAACATGAACCCCCCCCCCCCCCTCATACTGTACGGTCAGACCTCAGCGGCCATCTTTATTTTATCTTTCCTAACGATGGTGACAGGATTTTATGTGCGTTTGTGTTGTAAGTCCTTCCGATGTGGGAAAAGCAGACGAACACAAACAATTATACTTTATTTCCTCTTTATTTTTAATAAACAACTCAATTATTTGTTGCGTTTAGGGATTTCATCAAAGAAAAGAACATTTCTAGTAAGCTGAAATTCATTAATACATATTATTTACGTGAATTGTAACAAAACAACATGGCTTTTTCTAATAAATATATATTAAATGTTAAAAATATAATTATTATTTTATTGTTCTTTTTTTCTGTGAGTCATTCAAAGAGAATGGTGGTTGAATTAGCTTTGTAAAAAAAAAAAAATGAACTTTATATTGCTTTAATTATTAGGAATTATTTTTGAATATTCACTTTCATTGTGATTCCACTCTCAATAAAAATGTTTAAAGATACATTTTTTCGTCAGGATATTTGGACTAGAACTGAACAAGACACAAACATCTGTCCACAGTTCCTAACCCTCTCTTCTCTCAGGGAGCTGGACCACGCCATGCTGCGGAGGTTAGAGAAGAGGATTCTGGTTGGTCTGCCCTCCTCGCCAGCGCGCCAAGCCATGATCTCTCATTGGCTGCCTCCTCTCAGCTGCACAGGAGGGGTGGAGCTACGCACTGAGCTGGACTATGAGACTCTGGCCAAGGTGTGTGACAGCGAGAATAAGCAAACAAGCATTTATATTTTGTTTGTCTTTCTTAAATACAGTATTGATCTTATTGGAATACATTATACGAAAAAAATGTGTTGAGTCATGTTTTGTGAATATACAGCACTATAGAAACCCGGTGCATCTCAGAATCCCAACCAGAATGCTTTATATATTCCGGGGAGGATATTAGGTTTTGTTACAGTTTCCTAATTTAACGATAACATATAAAAATAAATCAGAAAATATTTAAATAAACATAAAAAGCTGCAGTAAAAATCTGCAATATACAGTAAAGATCAAATAAAATAGAATAAGAATATTTATATTGACATAGATCTTAATTATCAGCCAGCCTTATGTCACTGTGTGTCTGTGTGTGATTCAGGGGATGGAGGGTTACTCTGGCTCTGATGTGAAGCTGGTGTGTAAGGAGGCCGCCATGAGACCAGTGCGCAAGATCTTTGATGCTCTGGAGTCACATCAGGACGGTAGGGAAACACACACACACACACACACACACACACACACACACACACACACACACACACACACACACACACACACACACACACAGACGTACAACAACCTACAGCTACATGAGGAGACGTCCCCTCACAGCAGCAGTGTTTCTCTGTCCCTGATTTAAACTATGTAGCCTCACTGTGATTCTCCCTTACAGGAGGCAGCAACATGCCAGTCATCCAGCTGGAAACCGTGACAACAGCTGACTTCCTGGAGGTCCTCACACACACCAAACCCTCGGCCCGAAACCTGATGGACAGATACACAGCCTGGGACAGAGAGTACAAGTCTGTCTGACACACAAACACTTTTATACTAACATTCCAGCATTTCCAACAGATTGTTGACTGTAAACAAACTGACCTGTTGCTGTAAGGCTTAGTGGGAGCCGTGGCATGACAGTGCACTGTATTCTAAATAATTTATTCACACACACATTGCACATCCTTATACTAACAGTAAATAGCCTCACCAGAATATCATTATCTAATCAGTTTAACAAGATTCTTACTAACTTATTGCTTTCCTAAGCTGTAACTTCTATTGGTCTCTACCATCAGTCAATAAAAATACTCCCACAACTCGAAGGTCTTAGCCGTCGTGTTTTTCCTCTTAAATTCCATATGTGGTAGTATTCCATAACATATTTTCTCTTTGACATTACTATGCACTTTTTAATGTTTTTGTTATGGCATTAATTCATTCTGATCGTTACTTTTGAAATTATTTAGTATTTATTTTGAAGCATCTTCAGATTACATTTATATAACATGCTATAATTTGACCTTTCTTTTATGCTCTCGTGTCGTTTTCTTCTGATATTTTTGACATCCTAAACCACGTTTCTTTTGCATTCTTTTGACGAACAATTAAGCAGATGAAACAGCAAATCATATAATAATCGCACAGTCACTCTATATCTATACAACATCAAACATACATATCCACTGCCACTTCTTACGTAGCAGCCTTTTTATTTCATCTATACAAAGAACACGAACACTGTGAAATAATAAAACATATTTATTGTGGATATCTTTTTTTATTCCAACTTAAATGTACAAAGGTTGAGGGAATGCTGAGTGGAATGCTTCAATAAACATCTTTAGAGCTGGAGTGTTTTTTTGTACAAAAGGGAGCTGCTGTTTTATAGCAGGTTCTTCAGGATGTGTGCCACAGCTTCTGGGAAACTGTCACATGTCAGGTTGGGGTTGAGGGTTGATTTTATCCTCATCTCCTTCTCGGTATTTACCTAAGACAGAAATTGGAATGCTATTAATGACAAACCTGCAGAGGACGTAAAGTCTTTCTAGAGATGCAGAGACAGGATGTGGCTCTGGTGACACTTTTGACACCCTTTTCTTGTGTAAAATAAATACACTGCTCTGAAGCAAATGTAAGTGAAACCCACCTCAGGCCCACCGGATAGCAGATGTGTTCTGCCTCACACGTTTAACACAAAATACAAAAATAAAAGAAAACATGACTCCTCTGTTGAAATTGATGTTTTGAAGGAGAATATTCCTAAACTTGTATCGTATGTTGTCCTTTAGCTTGAAGTAGTGAATGACTTTAGGTGGCTGAATACGTTTGGCATTTCGTTTTATATATTATAAAAAGCATTGATTGGATGTTTTCGAGTTCTAAAGTATTTTATGAATTTTGTAGTAATCTCACGAGTCATGGGAAAATGCCAATTTGGCACATGAATGAATTAAAATAAAATACACTGTTTTAGGCATATGATAGCTATGTGACAACGATTAACATGATAATTCAGCCTCTATGGAGATAGACATATGATTGTCATGATCATTTCTGACGTGGGTTTTAGCTAATCTAAACAAAACATTGAATGCTGCTTTGAACCGATATTGCTCCATCTTGTGACTGTAACACCCTCTCTTGTATAGAGTGATCTTTTTCTAACAATTTTAATGTTATTCCATTGAATTTTATTATATTTAAAATCCGTCGGCTGCTAGCTAACGTTAGCTCTCATCTAGAAAGATGTCGTTACGGCGTAGAACGGAAATAAACAGTTTATAACGGTTATTTTATTAATCAAACCTCTTTCGTGTCCACTCTCCTTTTCCTTTGCACCATCTTCCTATCAGTTGGCCTTGCTTGCATCAGGTAAGCTGAACCTTCATTTATTTTCTCCTTATTCACTATTTTTTAAATGTCATTGTATTGTAATTGTTGGTGTATAACTGATGCAGACAGCCAGGTCTTTAATGTCTTTGTATTTGTGTAGTGGTTGGAGACCAGACCCAACAGACAAGTGTGTCCTGTGTGTAAAGCCGGTATCAGCCGAGACAAAGTAATCCCATTATATGGACAGGGAAGCAGGTCAAAAAGACCCCAGGTAGGTCTCTTTGTGTTGGATTACTGGTCTGACTGACTCTAAGGTGCTGTTTACACGAGGTTGTATCCGCTACTTTTCTCTTTCGTATAGCCCGTTCGTTCACACAAGGCCTTAGCGGAAACGCGGAAACGGACCCCGCAAACGATAACGGGTCCCAAGGTGGATAGATCTGCAAACGGAACGCTCTGGGGGGCCAAACGGCTCAGTGTGTATACGATCATTTCCTGATAACGATGAAGCCATAGCCCCACCTCTGCTGCTCACTGCTGTAGCATGGTCAGTAGCTACTGCTACTGACCATGCTACAGATGTTAGTGCAAAATCTACAGCTCCTCTACCACAACCATCAGCAACAAGTGGACATGGAGAATTACATGAACTACATGTTGCTAAATCCACCGCGGGGCATAAACAGATGGGCAACCATGGCAACCATGCTCGGGGGTCTTCTTCGCTGCTTTTGGTGTATTTTGTGGCGGAAGTACAGCGCCACTTACAGGCCCGGCATATGTACTACAGCGTCTCCAGCGCTTTCGAGCGGTCTCGTGTGAACGGAAGACTTTTTTTATATCGTATTCGGTTTGCGTTTCGTTTGCGTGTAAATGGGGTCTGAACGTCCTGTGTTATGTGATCACAATACACACAATAAATATCTCAAAATAAGCACTTTTCTAAACGTTTACTGAATATGTATAAACAATGCAGGGCACCTAATCATTGCTTTAAAAATATTATTTTGTTCTTTATCATAGAGAAAGAACTCTCCCTCAACCACAAGGACAAAGGCCGGAGCCAGAAAACTGTGTTGTAAGTACTTGAATTGTGATTTAAAAAATAAGTACATGATGGCATGTTTTTGCGCCAGATCAATACTTTCTTCATCCCAGACGTGTTTTGTATCAGCTGTTGACTTACATTACACATTCATGATGAAACCATTACCTAGGATGGTGTAGGTGCTGAAGTGCAAACCTGTCTTTTATCCTTTAACAAAGAGAATTTCCCACTGGGACCTATTAGATGCTTAGGGCGGACGTTTGGAAACGTCTCTTGAAACGTCTCTTGAGAATGATGAAAAACTTCAGTGTCTGTTGCGTCACATCTCTCTGACTGTATGGTAAACTCCATTGTGAAGAGAATTCATGCACAGCTTCATGTTAGTGATGAAATATGTTTCACAGGGCTGGTTTGGCTTTGGACAGTGGACACCGCGACAGCTTCTGACTCTACTCCACCTGTTAGTCGATCTGGTGCTTTTATTGTGGCGGCTGATTGCATAAATGCAAGGAGAAACACTATCTCTGGCTTACCTAGAAGATTTAAAAGAGATGCAACATTATGGCACATCATAATGGTTTGCACCAATGTGATTATGCCTTGACATATTTTCCTCTCCTTGACTTGAAGTGTTAACTGTTAACCCAAGGCAAACATCTCTTAAGGTGAACCACACAAGCTCCGTGGAAAAACGTTTTAAATCATCATTCAATTGTTCTCTGTGCTCTCTTTTTGAGTATTGTTTGGTATTACTACTGAATTCAAATATATTTTCTGCTAATAAAAATAAGACCACCAGTGCTCTGGGATCATTCACTTTGATTTTCATGCATACATATATTCATATATGATCCCTATTAACCTTTTCAGGTAACTTTTATTGCAATTACCGTTGTTATGTTGTATTGCACGTTTTTACTTTAACTTTTTATGTTTTTATAAGTATGTTATTTTGTTTGTTCTAAAATGTAGCAACTGTCACAAAACAACATTTCCTCCACAGGATAATGAAATTATTCTGACTGATTTAACGTCTTCCATGATGAAATACTGGTCAGATATAATGTTGATGTCAACCATGTTTTTTTTTGCATTCTTTTGATGAACAAGTAAGCAGATGAAACAGCAAATCATATAATAATTGCACAGAATGACAAGTTACTCTCTATATCTATTCTACAACATTACCACTGCCACTTCTTACTTAGCAGCCTTTTTATTTCATCTATACAAAGAACACGAACACTGTGAAATAATACAGTGTTCGTGTTCTCTTTTTTATTCCAACTTAACCCTTGTGTTGTGTTCGAAAGCTGTTACCGTTCATGGTGTTCGCGTGTCAATTTTGACCCATGATTTATCTCAGTCCAAAACACTCAATAATGACTATCATCCAATATTGTTTTAACTACATCCTAACTAACTTATAATGCATCCATAACCGTACAATCCTGTTGTAATTGTATGGCCCCAAAACACATTACACCACATATTGCACACGTGCATGTGTGTGTTCAGGTTCAAGTGTTAGTGTACATATTCTTTGAGAAAGGTCGAGTTCCCGTGGGGGGAGGGGGGCCAGAGGGAGGGGAGACAAGAGACAAGGTGCATGTTGCGAAAAAAGTATTGTTACAGTGGATGAAGGGGGTGGGGGTGGGGGTGGGCTGTCTAAAGTCAAAGATGAATCTTGATGGGGTCAAATTTGACCCCGAGTCATCCCCAACAATGCTGCCGGGTCTTCACAGACCCGAAACACCAAATGATACACTTTTTTTTTTTAGAGACCTTCAGACTTGGCTAAAATGATCAAAATCAGTTTTGTAGTGTTTACATAGCTGTTGTGGAGGATATCATGAAGCCTTGTTCCGATAAAAAAAACTAGAGCGTAGTTATTATATAATTTTAACTTGTAACGGGTCACGGGAGACCCGAACACAACATAAGGGTTAAGTGTACACTTTGACATAATGACAAACATCAGTTAATGAGGCAACAGATGGTGGGTATTTAGTCAATGCATACTTTACTTTTAAGGATTAGTCACTTAAGAAAGTAGTCTACAACAGTGAAATAGACATTTTGTTAAAGGTGTGCATGCTCTTTTATATATACAGGAGTATAACATAGTTATTTTACCTAAAGGTTGAGGGAATGCTGAGTGGAATGATTCAATAAACATCTGTAGAGTGTTTTTGTGTACGAAAAGGAGCTGCTGTTTTATAGCAGGTTCTTCAGGATGTGTGCCACAGCTTCTGGGAAACTGTCACATGTCAGGTGGGGGGGAGGGTTGATTTTATCCTCATCTCCTTCTCGGTATTTACCTAAGACAGAAATTGGAATGCTATTAATGACAAAAAACAACAATGATAGCAAAAACAATGTGTTCACAAGTCTATGTTGGAAGAAGTACAGCATGCCAACAAATA